TGCAAAGTACTGCTACAAGACTGGCAGGATTCTAATCCTGTACTCGTTGTGGATGGTGAGCAGATAGAAGTGGTCGAGAAGTTCGTGTATCTAGGTAGCTGCATAAGTGCTGGTGGTGGCGTGAGTGATGAGATCAATACACGTATAGTGAAAGCCAGAGCTGCTTATGCCAATCTGGGCCACCTTTGGCGCCTTCGTGATGTTAGTCTGGCTGTAAAAGGTCGGATCTACAACGCGACGGTGAGAGCAGTTTTGCTCTATGCTTGTGAAACCTGGCCTCTCCGAGTTGAGGATGTTAGACGACTCTCTGTGTTTGATCATCGTTGTCTCCGAAGGATTGCTGGCATCCAGTGGCAACACCATGTCAGTAATGCAGAGGTCCGGCATCGTGTGTTCGGTCACAGAGACGATAATGAAATTGGTGTCACCATCTTGGAACACCGACTTCGGTGGCTTGGACATGTTCTACGAATGTCGTCCCGGAGAATCCCTCGTCGTGCATTATTTGCCGACTCTGGGACTGGTTGGAAAAAGCAGAGAGGTGGTCAGTATATGACATGGTGTCGTGGTATGAAAGAAAGCTGGAAAGGGCTATCTTCTGTTGGACCTTCACGACTCCCTGGTTGGGTTCCGAGAGATGGTGCGACACAGTGGCTTGAGACGTTATCAGATATGGCTCAGAATAGAAGGCTGTGACAATTTTGCTGTGACTTCCTTTTACTTGCTTCATAAAAGTAAAAGTGACTTCCTGAACAGCAAAAATTCTTTCTGGTTTCATTTTTTCATAGGTAAATTGCCTCTATTATTTTTAATATTTGATTCTCATATGCTAACTTTTGTGGCTGGAGACGTTATCAGATATGGTTCAGAATAGAAGCCAGTGGCAATCCTGTTGTAACCTTCTTTTACTTTCATCATAAAAAAATGGTTGTGTCTTCCTTAACTGAAAGAATTCTTCTGGTTGTGCCTTTTTATTTCCCTCATTATTATTATTATTATCATTATTATTATTAGAAAACCTCACACTAATCTCTTCTTTTTTTTATGCGCACCTTACCTTCTTTTTTCTCTCCCCATTCTCATTGTTTTGTGTGTCGCATATATATATCTGGTGCCCCATTGTACCAAAATTGTTGTGTTCAAATAAATAATATAAATAAATGTATGTATTGTCTTGGCTTACTGACTATAATTTTAGGGTCCCATTGGTCACCGTTTCAAATGATTTACTACTTCCGTCATACTACTTCACTTATCCAAGTAGTATATTCTCTACTTACAAATAGGGATAAGTTCTCAGATTTGTCACATACACCTTTTCACAAAAGCATTCAAAATTTACAATGTATGTGAATTGATAAAAAAACATTCACTGTTGAATTTGATGTATTCTAAAATAAATTACTTTGGTATTATGGTGACGCTTTCTACTTAACCTTCCGGGTACCTTTTGAGGTTTAAATCTGTTGCGAAATGGAGAAAATATAATTCTCAAAATGTTGACTATTTATAAATTATACTCAATAAAATTAATGAAATATCAGTATGTTTACCATAGAGAGAAATGGGAGAATAGTAGCTTAACGTTTGTCTTTTGGAAAAACAAACGCTTACACACTTTCAGCAAAAGAAGCTTAATCAATTTTTTATCGAATATGAAACCAGCAAAGAGATTATATCCTGTGTCAGTTCTAATAATCAGTTAGTTACGGATATTATAGATAATAATTATACAATTATAGTTTTATCTCGGATAAATTAGGAATTCTGAATTACGATCTCGTTATCAGACATCATCTTGAGTTATAGGTCACTCGACACTTTTAGACTTTTGACTAATCAACATTTTTCACGGAAAAAATGATGCTAGGTATCTATGAGTTAATTTGATGAGAAATAATTAATTGCTTATAGGTGATTTAAAGATATGCTTAGTTTTGAATAATATACTGAGAACTTTGATCCACTGTAATATGGTGATATCTGTTATCATGACTTGATTATTATGATGTGTTGATTAAACTGATAATGGTATACAGATTTTAACGACTTTTGTGTAATAATTTAAGTTTCATAGTTCAAAATTTTCAAACAGGTTATTTTTCATCATATTTATTTTGTATTTCATATCCAAGTGATTTATGGTAAGGAATTGTGAATAAATTAATAAATGACTAAACATTAACTGGGATAGGATGTAAACGGTTTAGCACACTAACTAGTGGTATACGAAAGGTTAAAATTGTGTGACAAATCATCATTATTTTTATCATAAGGTCAATTGAATATTAAATGGAAAAGAGTTGAAGGGAATTTAAACAACAATCACTTCTTTTAAATACTTTAGTATACGGAATACACCCATTATAACATAAAGTAAGAAAGATTGGTTCAGCGAAGTGTTCTCTTTTCGGCGAATTCATTTTCAAATCTGTGCGATCGTAAGTATATGTACTTATTTCTCAGGATGATAATAATTATCATAATAGTCTTTTGTTAGGGATGGTAACAGTGAGGCAGAATAAACAAAGGTATCTTGATGGAGTTGTGTTCTCGGAGCAGGATGGTTTTGTTGTGGAGCTTACATTGTTCTTCTGAAAGACATCATCAGCACAAACTTCAGGTAGAAGTGAAGTGTTCGAATTTCTCCACATGTCTCACACCTTCTCCTGTAGATCTCGATCGCGTACAATCTTTGTGCAAGAGGGTGAGGACACACTGGAACACAGCGCGGAAAAATAAAGAGAAATACCCAACCAACTTCATCAGAAAATACCAGCCGAATGCATCATCATAAACAAAGTCAAGTACAGAAACCAACAAACGGATCAGCCTACCATACATAAAAGGTAATTAAGGGACGAGTACACTGCGTGGCAGTTTATTCTGTTCTACTTTACGGCTGCGAAACGTGGCCATTAACAGTAGATATTCGTAAGCTACAGTATTTAACCACAGATGTGTTAGAAATATTGCTCGCATCTGCTGGGATCACCGGATATGTAATAGTGAAGTTAGACACAGGGTATTAGGGTATGATGGTAAATCAGTTGATGAGATTGTGAATCTTCATCGACTGAGATGGTTGGGTCACATGTTGCATATGCCTGAACACCGATTACCACGACGCGCAATGTTGACTAGTGTTAGGGATGGTTGGGTGAAAGTTAGGGGCTGCCAAACCAAAACATGGCATCAGTCCTTGAAATCACTAGCTTCTAATCTGAGCCATGTTGGTAGATATAGACTATTTGATTGGGGTCCGTGTCACTGTCGTAACCAATGGTTGGAGACTCTGTGTGACATGACCCAGAATCGATTACAATGGCGTCGGTGCATATACTCTCTGTCTTCCTTTAAACTATGAGATTAAAATTGCTTTATATCTTTCTTTCTACCAACTAATTCTTACATGCAATCTTTCTTTTATATATTACCACCACTGAATTAACTACTTCTATGAATCCAGTGTTCATCTTGTTGTGCTAATGCGTAATGGCAACTTGGACCGATGCATATATGTGCCTGGTCCTACGTTGTAGCTGACTGACTGACATAAAAGTCATGTCAGAAATTGCAACGAGGCTGTATAAACCTTTCGGAATAGGTGTTGCACACAAAACAACAAAATCACTACAATCAGTCCCATGCAAACCAAAGGATGAAATGACAAAAGAAGAAAAATCGAACATCATTTACAAAATAAATTGCGCCAAATGAGAAAAACACTACGTCGGACAAAGCGAATGCCCTCTTCATCTCCGCCTGCATGAACATCAATTAGTGGTCGAACACCATGACATATCCTCACTTATATCAATACACATGGACAATTGCGGACACACATTCGACTGGAAAAATGTGGAAATCTTGGATAGAGGTAATTCTAAAAACATCAGAGAACTTTTAAAAGCTTGGCACTCAGGTCAATCAGCAACCAACAAGCACATTGAAATCGATCCAATTTATCAACCGTTCAGGAGAATTATGGACAAACAGATGACCAAAAATCAAACCAATGGGAGATACGACCAAAGCAAAGAAGTAAACAATGACATTTAAAGTCAACAATAACCCATCAACATCGAGGTCTAAAGGAGAAGCTATGAGTCATATGCGGAGAAATTCAAACACTTCACTCCCACCTGAAGTTTGTGCTGATGATGTCGTTCAGAAGAACGATAAAAGCTTCATGACCGAAGCATCGAGCTCCGAGAACACAACTCCATCAAAATCATCCACCTGAGCTACAAATCTTCTCCACCATCCCAAAAACAAAGGTACTAAATTTATTTTAAACAGGAGAACTTATGATCGTTTGATTGTTAAAGGCTTAAATATTCATTATAAAGATGGGTAGGGAAATTATCATTGGGAAAAGATGGCTCGGCATGATAAGATAAAAATTTTGAAATTGAAATGAAGTCTAATCTTCGCTGAGTTAATCTTATTTTAAATTCAACTAACACAAAACAGTGTTGTATTAACAAGGAAAACATCTGAATAGATTTAGTTCATTCACTTCAGTGTTTATATTTATAATCAATCAAGTAAAACTAGTAAATAATTAGCGTCCTCAGATGATATAAGTGAGATGCACTATTTACATGCTTTCTGCCGATGATCTCTATCTCACATAAAGAGCATTATATTCTACCTCTAGCTCTTCTTTTTGAAAGCATAACAAATATTCCCACTTAACGACTTCGAGTCGTGTATACTGATTTATCAAGACAAACGTAGATAAATTGTTATAATTGAATTAGCTATTCGTTTCACTAATCTGTTGTTTATTATTACCATTGATGCTTTCATGCACTACAATGAATGACCAGCGCTACAAACTACAAAGTGACCACTGTACTTGTCTAGATTGATAAATATATTTTGACATTTATTGTTTTGATAAACGTAGAGGAGACTAGAATCATTAGATCAGTGATCAATCAAACTACATTGACGTTTAAAAAAGAGAATAAAAAACATCTGATTAGACCAATAATTATCAACCATGACAAATGTGATGTTGCCTATTCTAAAATACATGAAGCCAGCCTTTTGAATTTTATTTCAATGATGTTTTACAAAACAATAATTAAAACTTAGTCAATAAACCAGGAAGTACAGAAAGAAACCAACACGTCGCCAAAAGTAATTATCTCTCGTTTTCTATTTTTTCAAAGTCGTAGTATATCAGCGTTTTATGAACACAAAGTTTAAATGTAAGGTATGTTCTCTTTTATTGTCATGACATAAGTCACTGTATCATATGCCTGTAAATTTATCGTACAGTCAGTACATATTTCCTGTGACCATTTGCACACAGATTGTCATCATAAGTGGTTTTCAATTACGTAGTATTTCAAACGTACAAAACAATAAAATATATTATTTATTCTCTGAAGAAGTGGCTTACACTAAGTCACGAAACGTCAGAAAATCTAATTTTCTACTCATTGGGATATTACAAATATATTATTTGTTTATGAATGCAGTTTAGAGCATTTACTTTTACTATCAATGTGTGATAAAATTACTTTCAAAACAAGAATTGAATAGATTACATTCAAAAATAACATACTATTCAGTATAATAGCACTTGGAATGATGCACAAGTGGGTGAATCTTCAACATACAGAGAACAGAAATTTCAAATAATTAGCAGATATATTCAAATAATGGTGCTAAATGATACTTGGAATGGATTATATTGTCATTTCTGTTTTTGAAATCGCAAGTGATATCTTAAACAAAGAATGGTGCAATAAAAAACTGAAAGTTAACAGATTTTTCAAACAAATACACACATAATATAATAGAGTAACACAGCTCGAAGGTATTATACATGGTTTTTTGAACAATGTAAATCAGCATAGAATTGAGGATTAAATGTTGGATCTAATCTACCCGTTAAACGTTCGATCTTCATTTTCTTCAATATCCAATATTCAAGACAATCATACGCTGCATCATAAAAACCATTATGAAATTTATTGGCAAAAAACTCTTGACGTTTTGTTAAATTGTATAAATGTTGTACACCTAACATACATATTGTATGATATCTTTTCCCGGTAGCACATCTTTTTGGTTTCCAAATAACGAAGCGTGATACAAAAGTTGATTGATTATCATTTTCATTAGGTGGATAAAATTCTTTACAAGCACCAGGGGCAAATAGTTGTGGATTATAAGCCAATGTACTGAAAAACATTTCATCTGGTATTTTCATTAAATGTTGTTCTTCTCTGAGAATATTTAATAATTCAATAGAATTGGGATTCATATGTAAATAACTGACAAATTCTTTACGTAATGCAACTAAAAAGCTTCCTTTTATCCATGTAACCTTGTTAAGTAACAAAAGATGAATTTAAATTAAATCAATTATGATAAAAGATATAGATAAACTGTAAATTGAATATGATAAAAGCAATGAAAAAAGCAGGGTTGTTTACTTTTTGATGATAGAGGAAAGACTTGCACCGCAAAATACCCTGAATAGCATTGTTAACCGTGGTATCAATATCATTATATAGTAGATTTATTTTTTGGAGTTTTTCTCTTTGAGCTGGATGGTTTAGTCGTGGAGAGGTGGAAGACTTCTACCCGAAGTTTGTTATCATGGTGTTCAGAAGAATGATGAAAGCTCCACGACCAAAACCATCCAGCTCTGAGAACTGGACTCCATCAAAATCATCCACTTAAGCTAAAATTTTCCCCATCATCTCAATAGTGGAAGATATTAAACTGTTATTTATTTCTTAAAATGCCTACACAGTTGATTCGGATAAGCTATGGTGTTAAATCTGTCAGTAAATCGTAATATGGATAAAAATGTAAGTTTAAGGTTTGAAATTACATGTACAGTTAAGAAGATAAACTAAATTTAATGAGTGTCAGTTATATCTAATTGAGGATCGGTGAGATCAAAGAGATAGTCAGTTTAGATCGTTTGTACCTCAATGTTCTATTTTTTTCCCCAAGATTATGATTGATTAATTAATCAACACAATTCATTAAATCAAACAATAACATCTTGCTTCTTTGTTTACTTTGTTACTTAATAATCTTCAGGAAAGTCAACTGATGTTCTTAAATCAGTATGTAGTAATTTACTTGATTTTTTGGTTACAAGAGTTATTTGGGGAAATCAATATCGTTCATAGAAATTCTTGAGAAATTTACAAGTTAAATAAAATTTTTATGTAACAGAAACCAAGAGATAAATAATCATGAAAAAGTTCTGTTCACTACATTACCATAAATACCTTGTAAAGATATCGCTTTTCATGAGGTGACTGAAGTAAATACTAAATAAAAGACATATGTAACTACTAATCATCAATTTAGACCAGTATTAATTTCAATAACCAAGCTAGAACTTAGTCTGTCATTGAAGTTATTTGGTTCATGCATATACCACCTGCATAAAAAGTAAATCTACTAAGTTTATAGGACGATGTCATTTGTTTGTAATAGGTGCTGAGAAATCTATTGATTTCTTCGATTGTTCGTTAACATTTAATGTTTGGAGTCATTTGTTTTCTTTTAATTTTTATAGCTTTATGTAATCATCACCTTTTACTTGTATAAACTATTGGTCAAGTAATGTTAGAATTTCATTAGACTATTTTAAACTTAAAATTAACCCACATTGAATGATGGTTTTCTACGAGGAATTCTTTTCTTTGGTCCATTTTTTGTTGTACATCCAATTATATTAGCACCGTTTAGAGCTTTTAATGCTTTAATCAATTCCCAGTTAGTACGTAATGGTAATTCTTTTCCATTAATATTCATAACATATTTCCACTGAACTTTTGTATTATTCAACATAATTTGAGTACATTTAAGAAATGAATCTAATACAGAAAAATATCCCCATTTAACTGAAACACTTTGTGAACGTTTGATAATTTCAACATTATTACCAAAACATTTAGCTAAATCAACTATAGATTGATAAAACTCGTTTGATGTTTTACGATCAACATGTATACAATATAAATTATGTGGTCTATATAAAAGACGTAATAAACGTGCTATACGATCAATATTTTCATAAACTGAAAATGCAAATCCAATAGGATAATTCAATTCTTCTTTATTTGTCCATAATAAATATTTAAAAGAATTTCGAAATAATATACAATCATTCATTGATTTCCATGAATATAAAATATGTTGTTTTGTTGAATAATTTTCATATTGTTTAGCATATATTTGATTTGGTTCTATATTTAAAAATGATTCACATATTTTTGTAAGTTTCATATCTAAGTTATGATAATCTAATGAATTATTATGTAATATGAATAATTCATTTATTTTATTGTTATTCGTTTTATTTAATATGATAATTACAAATAAAATAAATAAACAAATATATAATTTTTTGATAAATAATCTACGACAAATTGTATTCAATGAACTCATTTATATAGGGGATATCTTGTAATTTATTATTAAATAAAATAGAATAAATTATATTTTACATCTTCATTGTAATATAAATAACGTTGGCTATTGAGATAATCTAGATTATAATATAATTCATATTAGAATATAAATAGAAAAATGAATTTCAATACACTATGAGAGGGTAATCATTTGATTAGTCTAATAATTGTAAATTATATTTATAAAACTACATATTTCGAAGTTTCTGATTGGTTAATTATAATAATATTTGATTTTTCATTTTGTGTTAGTGTGTAATTTGTAAAATAAGTTTTATAGATGATTAATTTAATTATGAATTATATAAGTTTTAATAAATCAGTTTTCTTGATCCTAAAATGTGATTTCATAAAATACATTGCTTATGTAAATTTTTATCAGATTTTATAACTACAACCTAGAAGTATTCAAGTAGGAATATCAAACTATTATTGATGATTGGATATGTGAAAAAGTAAATAAACTTTAGGATACTGAACGTAGTAGTAGTAGTAGTAGTAGTAGTAGTAGTAGTAGTAGTAGTAGTAGTAATAGTGTAGTGAACAGAACACGAGCGGGGGGACAATCAGATGTATTTGACAACAAATTACAGAACATGTTAATAAAATCTAATAACCATATAGTAAATGCTCAATATGCGGAATGTCCATCGATTGTCTCAAAAGGACTCAGACTTCATTGTTCCTGCATTTTCATACAAATTACATTCTGTTTTCATTCTTTACTGTTCGATCTTCTTGTCTCTCTGCTGCCAGACATTCTGTTCACGAATAGCATCATATACTACTTACGTCTACATAAGTAGGACATACCACAATAGTAGTAGTAGTAGTAGTAGTTGTTGTTGTTGTTGTTGTTGTATAGTGAACAAGAACACGATCGGGGATACTCGGGTTTATTTGAATACAAAATTACAGAACATCTTAGTGAAGTCTGAGAATCATGTAGTAAGTACTTGATTTGCAAAATGTTCATCAATCGTCTCAGACTTCATTGTTCTTTCATTTCCACGTCAATCATTCTATGTTCTCGTTCTCTTTTCTTTGATCTGTTTAACATCCTGCCTTCAGGTATTTTACTTTTAATTGATGATACGTGCTACTTATATGTATCGACATCAGTAGCACACACCATAGTAGGAGTAACTAAAAATCATACAAATGATTACGTACTTACTTTTGTTTCACTAGAAAGAACTGTGAGTTTGAGTTATAGGACGAAGAAAAACATTGTCATATAGGCAACTAAATGAATGAATCATGTTTAAGGATTACCATACTTTTTCCATTATTCAATAATAGGGCGATATTCATCATTTTTGAACATTTTTACATTCATTCAGTAGATCAGTACTAACTAGCTGAGTGTAATTTTCACTGGGGATTTTATTTCAGTCATCTAAAGCCTTTTGTATATGTCTTCTGTAAACACGACATTGTTGCATATCTCAAGGTATCGGGTGAAAAAAGTAAAACGAAAGTTATGCTCTTATATGCAAGATTCATTCACTAAACGAACATAACAATGCCAAATCAGAAAGATCTTCAACAGCGTCTCAATGACGTCTCAGGAGTTTACATTAACAACCCACAGTTAATCAAAACATAGACATTTAAGTATCTCAAAAAGTGTGATAATATTATTTCCTACTTAAAATAATTATTTGGAGCAGATGCATTTCAAATGAAGAACAGAGTGGGCAAAATGCTGGTTACTCTCACCGTTCCAACTTTTTCTGGTTGTTGACTGAATTTTGAAGAACTACACGGATCGGGAGAGGCACGGAATACAATAGAGAGCTTAAATGTAGCTAGACGGTTTGAACTTAGCAAACGACCTAGTCATTCTATGCCTTACACAGCAACAAATAGAGGTAAAAACAGACATTGTAGCACCAGCTTCCGAAGAAATAGGCCTCAGTGTGCACTATACGAACAAAAGATACTGAAATACAACACAGTGGACACCGATATATCAGACTTGATGAAGAAGCTCTGGAAGTGATTGAAACTTTCAAGTACCTTGACAGTATCATTCATAAACGAGGGAGATCTGATGCACATGTGAAGGCATGGATTGGCAAATCAAGATTGGTGATCCTACAATTGAAGAATATCTCGGACTCATAACAGCAGTCAGACAACACAAAAGTCAGGATTTTCAATACAAGTATTAAGACAGTTATACTATACGGAACTACCACAATCACCATCAAAAACACACAGGTGTTTACAAATGGTCATCTAGTTAGGATAATCAATATCTATTGACTGGGTACCATCAGCAATAACACTGTGAATAACTACTGTGACAGAAAACAAATCGGCTTTCGTGTGAAGGGAAAATTAGAGAAATATGCTGGAGGTGAATTGATCACACTGACGGAAATCACCGAACTGTTTGAGGAAGCAGGTCATAACTGGGAATCAGCAAGGCTAAATGAAAATTTGCAGACGATAGCACACGTTGCTCTATGAAATGGAGGCTGGCATCACAAGAATAAATAGCACTCATCAGCAACTGAAAATGTGAGCGCAGATAATTGTTATTCGGAGATTTTAGGTCGACAGCCTATGCCTTATGAGGGGTAACATACATAAGTTATCACCAAGTATGACTTCTCTGAAATTCCCTGTATGATCTGATTGTAGTTTCTAAAGTTAAAGCTTTGTACAAGTAATATCATTAATCGGAGGAAGGCATCAAAGGAGTGAGTAGCACTTTAATCAAATAGTAATAAAGCATAACTATCATCTAGTGGTAACAGTGAAGACTATTTCGTTTTTGATTTGTCTGAACCCCATAACTCAGTATTACTTTGATAATTTATGACATAATGTTTCAATTAGTCTCACTCCTAGACACTTATTCACTTTATTATGGAATCTAGTAACATATTTTAGTCTACAATATCATATTTTATGGTACAATCAGATGATGTCATTCAAGATACATGAAACAAAACTTTGAGCAATACTAATCACTTCTATTTTTTCTTTATTTAAGCAGACAGTATTTATATCTATTTCAATAATTCACAGTACGTATAAATTATGAAAATTCACAGATTCATTAAAATAACAATTACACTATATACTTTGTTCTGGTTCGATACTGTTTTTGTATTTCAGTACATACTTTTGATGTATTAAATGTAACAAAATGTAGATTATTTTACCGAATCTTATTAACACTACAAATGGGTAAGTATATTATAAATATTCTTTTCTGGTTAGCGTTTTTTTAGCCAGTTAGTTTTCTACGGGATAATGTCGCTAACCCCATACCCAACCCCCCTCCTTCATCCGGGGTTGGGACCGGAAGTAGCCCTGAAGGGGCTCCAGGCGGAGTTAAGTAAATTATAAACATATATTTTAACAGATAACACACGAACTCTAATGAATAGTTTTACTAACTGATAGTTAAGTAGCGGAGTAACAATTGTACACTGAGTGAGTATAGTTATCTCACTACAGGCTGCATGTTTTTCACGCAGTCAGAGACATGTTTCATTTGCTTGCACTAAAAGATATGACAATCTGATTGTGACTTGGAATCCAGAACCAAATATTTATAACCATGTGTTTTTACTTACTTAAAAAGTAGTAGTACTGTGAATATAATTTATCTTTAATCTTAAAAGTCAGCAAAACGAATCCATTTTTCTAAAATCTCTCAAATAAAAGATAATTACTATGGTAATAGTATACAAGCAGATATTAATTTTCCACAGGGCAATTTAAAGAGTTTAAGTTTGTCCGAATAAATTCCCAGATAATTCAAAAAATCAACTATTTCTATTATTGTGAATAATTTTATTTATCAACTGTCAAATAAATATGTTCATATTACATGTATATGAAACTATACTTTTAAAAATGTCTGCTTACTTGCCCACTTGACAGAAATTTTAATTAGATTAACTTGTTTACACATTTAATGAAAAGTATATGAAGCTATGGATCTCAAAATGTTGTCTTCATGTTCGTTCTCTATACCGCCAAAATAGTACAGCTTTCTTTGTATATTTTACGAAAACTAATTAAGGTTAAATAATCTTTGAATTACGACTACTGGTTTATTTGACATAATTTTCAATCAGGTCAACTTATTTACTTATTTGGCAAAGGTGTAACTTAGTTACATAATTTTCAAATCATGCCTACCCGATAACTTAACAGTAATATTCTGCTTACTAGAGTAGTTCTTTTCAAAGTTCGAAACCTATTTGCATAACTATTAACATCTGTTTTATCTCTTTATTTCTCTCATACTAATCAGACGCTTAGAGTTAAACATCGGAAGGTAATATTGGCTTAGATAAGCGTTAGACTTATATTAACCTATATTGATAAGTTTTAGTTCATTTCATTAGATTTATTAATAATTTAATTAATATAAATTTTTCACTTGAATAATCATCATACGTTTTAAAATACTTGCACCGCATCACACCAATGGTTGGTAAAAATATAGTAGTAACACAACCTACAAATTGACTGAAAACACCCTTTCATATAACACGATATTTCATGCAGATATATTTAGATAATGAAATAATTGTATACGTGTACGGTTCAAAAGATCGAGCAATAAGTAGATAGAAAAAGTAGCATTCAAGAGAAACCTGTACTTTGTAAATTACTTGTTACTGATAAATATTATTTGGAAAAACTTTGTAACTTTTAACATAAATTAGGTATAATCATCATTATTATTACCCTGAATTAGACCTGTCTCTTCAGTGACCAGTCGACGTCTTTCACCTATGATTTCTATGAACATGACTCGGTGTCTGAATTTAGCTATGGAAATACTTACTGAATTTCTTACCACTAGTGTAACTGTGAGCACTGACAAAACATGATACATTTTTTCCTATACAGTGAGGAATGTACGGTAAATAGCAGTAGTTGTGAAATTCCTTTTTTACATTGCATTCTACAGTAAAAATCTAATTACTTAGGAAAGAAATTTTCCAAAGTTTAAGGGAACGCACGTGTAAATTGATAAGCGGAATAGGAAATGATTCAGTGGCTGACAAATTGTTCTGTAATGCGTGTTGATAATTCAATAGAATTCTTATCAAAGGCTTTTGATATAGAGTGCAAGTGATTGTGATTTATTTTAGACGATTAGGTCGGACCACAAATGGAAAGATGTACAGCTGGCTGATTGCGGATAGAAAAAAAACATTTCCATATATATGTTTCTAGATACTTTCAAATAAATATGAACATTTCAGACGTCCTCGTTAATTCAAAACGATTCTGTTGATATCATTAATTCGATTCTAACACTGAATACATATTGTGAGGTGCTTAAATTGATGATCAACCGGGCCTTTAGTAAAAGATATCATAAACTATATGGTTCATAACAGAATAAACTTCAATCTTTAGTTGAAATGATCTTGTGACACCATATGTGTATTTATTAAGTCATACCAAACTAATTTTTGATTACATTTCATTCTCAATTTTCATGTGCAAGTCACTTACAAAATAACATCTTAAGTCAACAAACAGCTAAGGAAATACTTTAACACTAGAAGATCTCGGTCAGTGTTGAACGACAATGTTTTGAGAATAATCATCACAACTACAATAATATTAGTAATTATAATAATGGTCAAATTACTGAAGTCTGGATCATATGAAGTTCCTTCAACTAATCTATATCAAAATATGATAAGTGAATCCATAGAAACGTGTGAAGCATTTTTAAAAGACACAGTGACAAGCCCGTTAACTACCAAACACTTCGAATCTTATTCAACACGCAACGACCGTTATCATCTATGGAATGGTTCGGAATCTTGTAATAACTTCAAACAACTAATTGAACAACCTGTCTGGTTGAGTGAAGAAGAAAAATCATATCCGATTGCTTATTCCCTACTAATTTATGATAATGTTGAATGGACAGCTCGACTACTGCGTTTAATTTATCGTCCGAACAATCTTTATTGTATTCATGTGGACAGAAAATCGCCTGAATGGTTTCATGAGGAAATTGTTAATCTGTCTAGATGTTTCGGTGTTAATGTACTGGTAGTGAGTCGATCTGAGAGCATCCGTGTAGTTTGGGGGCACTATTCAGTAGTGGAAGGTTTTCTTGCTTGTTCTGAAATGTTATTCAACCATCCAAGTGTTGAATGGCAATATTTAGTAAACATCAACGGGAAAGAATTACCATTACGAACGAATTGGGAGTTAGTAGTTGCATTGAAAGTGTTGAATAGGTCCAATATTACTGATTATAATGAACGTAATGCACTTCAAAGATGAATTCCTTTAAAGAAGACCAGTTTTTCAGTATGTTTAGTAATTTTAGGTATTTCACTAAGAAATTAGACAGGTTTATGTATAGAGAAACTCAACTTTTGCACCCATTTATATTCAGTAACTTCTTATCCGGTTTCACAACAACTACAGTAAAACCACGGTTGCAGAATATTTGAAGCAATGTGAGCGATATAATGGGAGTGAACATGTAGTCAATCTACCATAAAGAGAATGGAATATTCTTGAAACTTTAGAGTTTTTCAACTGATCAATTACAATTTGGGTAAATTTACATCTAATGTTTTTAAACTGAGGTTGGGTAAATATTTCCAACTTCGAAAAATTACTGCCTAGAATAAAGCTTATTTTAGTTTTGGGTAATAAAAATCTAACAGAAATGACAATACCGAATTTAGTATTCTGAGAATGTGATTATATTAAAGTAGTTGGATGTGGTGGAATTAGCAAATTTGTTACATTAATCTGTTAGTGGTATACAGAGAATGTCCTGGCATAAATCTATATCCTATACTTTCTAAAAATTAGACGTAAAAAGCCTATTTCAGGTAGCACAATTGATCAAACTTAGTGCTTTGTAAATGACCACAAATAAGTGAAATTTATGTGAGTTATAAAATTGCCATTAAATCCATCTTCCTCAAATGCATCAGTATTCTGCTCCTGATAAGAAGAATAATGTATAATGGAGTATAATTGTTTGTAGTTCAGGATGAGTGTGTTGGGGATGTTCTTTTCCATCAGCTGGATGGTCTAGTCGTGAAACTTTCATTATTATTCTGGGTAGAGTCATCAACACTGAAATCTGGTATCCAATAAAGGCTTCACAAGCGAACCATCCAGTTCACAGAACACAATACATCCAATAAATAAACGTAAAAATATGTCTTTAATCAACACAGCATTCAATGAAATGTAGAATTTCATTCTAATGAGTTCAGCGTAAAGATTGACGAGACAATTTTCATCAGTTACCTATAAACTGATCATAGTTTAATGATATGTTGTATCGAACCTGATTCATTTTGAAATCACTCACATATTGCGTAAAACAATCAATTTTTCTTTACTTGATTTGGATGGAAAATGATATTCTAAGCAGAATAATGAATTTATTATTTGATGGTAAAACACTCTCGCTGCAAATACTAGACAGCTTTTTTCTTGATTCACTTTTTCACGTAACCACTCCGTTAGAATTCTTATCAAAATGTAGGATGAATGAACAGAATGAAGTTTCATTTTCCGGTTGAAAAACCGATGTCATTTATTCCAGTGGCCAGTTATAACTTTAGGGTATCTTGAATTTGATGACAGTCATATTCACGCGTACCTATATTTGAATATGATTTATTGAATGTTAGCTGTTTTCCCACGATTTAAACTCAGCCGAATAGTAAAGAAATTTATGCTAGTTTCATGTTGTTAGGTACAACTGCATTACATTTGAAATCTGCTCAGCATTCAATACAGTTTGATGGCTTCATTAGTGCTGATAGTTTTAGACTTGTAATAATCTCACTAACAAGTGGAAGTACGCAAAGTACACCTTAGAGTATATCCTCGTTTTACTGAATGTACAACTATGTGTCAAGATTTGTTTGCCTCTTGAATATATTGGCTATATTCTTTAGAGATGACTTGTCGCTTGAATCGTATAACATTTTGTCGAATAAATAAGTGAATAAAATAATAAATTCATTGAGGTTTGTATTCACTGAAAATGACTTTCATCTTAGAGTAACACTGGATGTAAAAGTGTCAGAGACAAGAAAAAGTAACACAAATATTTATCTCTAATTTCATTTCGAATCTCCACTCATATTATTACAAATCAGCGTCTCCATAAAACCGTTTTGATGCAGCAACATCCAGGATTTGAAATGCACGTACTGCCATCATTGTTTGTTAGTTATATACTTGTGGAGCCCGTTAGGTTCATCAGCGGCGGGTTCATCACTTTTTGTGGGGCCATTTATTTTGTCGTCATTTAGATCGGACGATGTTGTCGAAGGGTTCTCCACTTTAGTGGCTCATGATCTGACTCCGATTTGATCGTATGAATGATCGTTGTGGAAATATATATGCGCCTTATCCTCGTATATAATCATTGACTCAAATCGCGTTAGCTAACAACGGAATTAAATAAGTCAAATAACGAGAATGGACTTTTGGATACACATATTTTGTATATAAAGCGAATGGAATGGAATAGAACGAAGCCAACTCCCATTTAATCAAGCGTTAATCAATATTTATAAGCACACAAAAATAAGTTACAAACTTGTGATGAATAGGATAAGAAGTGAACACACACCTACGCGCTCATATAAAAACAGTCAAGATATTGATAAGCGAATAATTAACAGGGTTAGAATGTGACTCAAGTGGAATGAATAGATGGACTGTCCGAAAGTTAGAATAAGGTATTTGGGTTTAACATAATAACAGACACTACACTGCATGGTAAATGAGCGTTAGTGATATGATAAATTTCTAAAGAGAAATGATATCTACTGGATGCTCCAGATGAACTCCTTTTCAAAGTTTGACAGGCGAATTAGATGCAAGATTTGACGTGAAATTTTACAGCAGACTATTCTGTTTCAATGATCTCATTTGACAGAAATTGTTTGTTTGAGAACTCTATTACTGTTCTATTTGTCTATATTTCGCAAATGCTAAGATTTGGATTATAAAAATCAATGTTATTCACTTTTCGGTAAAATGGAGTGTTATAAAGTCCCGAATCTCCTATACACTTAGTTTTTGATGTTGCTCCAAATGAATCCGACCTGTCATTTGTCAAATATTATCTAGGCTTGTGAAATCACATCATGTATTGACGTTAGTGGAACGACCATTGAGACCGGTAAACGATAGACAACTGTTTCGTCTAAGTACAGTGCCTTCCCCTGGATCAACCAGAAGCTGAGGTTTGGTTTTTCAGGCTATGCAATTTTAACCACCGTCGACCCACGATATTGAGAGACCTCCATTCATTTTTATTCGTTGATATATATATATATATATATTCTGTTTGTTACACAGCATAGAAATGATGGAATCTCATCGAGGACAATAAAATACAAAATACTAACCTCATTCAATATTTAGTCCGTAATATCGTTCAAATCTTTTAGTAGGCATGTTAGCTGTTATAAACTTCAGAATGATTTAAGACATTAATACATATTGGACGCATTGTATTATACTGATTTAGATACGACAATCATTCTAATTCATTTAGTGTCAGTATTAGTGCTAACGGTTTTACGAAGAGATAAAATTCGAAAAAGAGTAATACATGTTCACATTATTAGAAAATAAGTACGCTTTTTATATTAATCTTATAGTATATTTAAAAGCCAGTAAGAAATGATTTGTTAGTCCAGAAAAACGATGATAATCATCGAATAAACTTTTTACACGATCTTTCATGTAGTGCAATTGATTGTCTCAAAGAAGAAGACGTGAATTTTATCGTAGTTTAAGATTTCGCATTAATAAGCACCAACAATCTCATATGAAATCGAAGAAACAATCTCCTGGTATCTCTCCAAGCACGTTTACATTGATGTTACTAAGTTAGAATCCAATTGTCCATACTGTGACCTCAACCAATCAGTACTAGTAAAACATCTCAACCGAATGTCACCAATTACCCTCAGTCACTCTCAACAATCTTATTTACGTCAATCAATTCTTGCAACCAGAACTTCAGAACATTAGTCTCATAGCTAGTCAGTAGTGAGCACAGAATAATAACTAACTTTCGAACAAAGTAAAGCATGTCAGGATCGTTCTCTTTGAGGTAGATAGCTCAGTACTGAACTTTCTGAAGAACAAAGTATTCAATCAGGATGATGAATTTATTCTTCCGGTATCTAGTATCAACACAGCGTCTTGAATGATTTGCGTGAATAAATAGGTGAAGAACGATATCATTCTCTGCAAGTTTTGATTCATTTCGACGAAATAAGACAATATTGCCAACGAATGCCATCACATTGTTATTGTTGATTTTTGAATTTCTAATCCATTTATAAAAAGTTCTATTAAATACTTGTGACTGGAGTCACATAAATTAAGCATCTGTGTCGACTTTCATGAGATTTGAAAACTGTATTTCTCAGGTCATTGAAAGAGTTGAACCTCCAATTAACAGAAGGTGAATCCCAGTAGCCATGGATCAGAAAGAGTTCATTGAGACGACCAATAAACAAGCACGTAAATTGACAATATAACATAGAGATATATTAATAAAATCCCAATAAGTAAAAAATTGGGTTTCACACATTTCATAGCATTATGTGGATCGATTCTTCAGACAATAAATAAATAGCCAAAATAAATCTATATAGGTTTAAATAGCTTCAAGGCAAATAAAAAACAAGTCAGTTCGTGCAATCAAGATGAGTCTGATCACGTCAATGTCATATCATTTCGCTGAAGGTGATCCCATGTAAGATAGGCTTGTGCATTTGTTCGCATTTTATTGGGTGTGAAAATATGTCATAATTGTAATGCGGAATATTACTTTTTACAAACGCATAAGAATAACCATCATTCTCTATCAGTTGTAATAGATCTAGATAGGTCTCCAGTATTTATTCCATTATGAAGACTCATAGTTCTGCATTTGGTATCACATGGTTAAGGAATATCTAATATGGCAGGAAGTGTATCTGAAGTTTCCCTTAACAGGTACTATATCTGTCAAACTCATCAAATCGTTATAAAGCAATATGTGAAATGAGATCATTTATTGCAGAAATGTATGTGCAAGTTGTCTACACGGAAAAGCAAAGAAGACACGATAACGGTCAGTATATGTCTCACTTACAATTCACTTAAACGTCTAGCTCCCTTAATCAACTACCCGACACCTTTGTTCGTGAAGAAGGTATTGAGCAAACTGAAAAAATGACCTATGTTTACGTTGAGCGCTAAATATATGACTTGATGGTTATGATCAACCGGGG